GGGGGTATGAGTATAATATATTAGCAAAATGTTGTTTACTATTGTTATTGACTATCGCTTATTTAAGTATTGGTGCTGTTTGCTATCTTCTACATTTGTTTTTGGAACAATTAATATTTCATGGTAAATTCTGGTAGGAGAAAATGTAAAGGGATTTTAGTGTATTTGATTATTCTTTCTTACTTCATGAGTGTCATATTTGTCGGATACCAGCGCTATATAAATGTTCTATTCTATTCTACTTTGGACCAGGGGCGTATCCAGAGATGTCCAAAAGGGGGGGGGGGCGAAATTTGGGCCGATCAAGACAACACCGAAATAGGAGGTCCGGGGGCATGCCCTCGCGAAATTTCTGTGTTTTAGACGCCCAAAAATAACATTTGAGGCGTTCTGGACTATCATTTTGTCTTTTTATTTTTATTTTTTTATTTTTTTTACCTGTCAAAGGGGGGCCGGGGCCGGAACTCCAAGTATAGACATTTCACTCATTGTCCTATAAGAATAAAAGCATTAAATAATATTTCTCATCAAAAGAAAAGTAATTATTATGAATATCATAGAAGTTAAAATTATTTTCCATAATGTGGAACTATAGTACTAAACAAAATTACAATAGACATCTTAAAGATTTCTTTAAGGAGATTTAGTTATATTGAGTATGAGAATAGCATATCTTAAACTGTTGTTTCTCTTCCTATGGGTAATTTAATGTTGTTTTCCTTCTTCCACATATTGTATATATTAATTTATATACAGTTCATCTTCCAATTCGGGACCACTTTGGGACCTGAAAATTTAGGGTGGTCTCGGGGTTCAGTCACCAATTAGAGGATTAGCTTGTTAAAAGATTGAAGATTGTTATTTGGTTTTTTGAAAAAGTGGTCTCGAATTAGAGGGGTCTCAGAATTAGAGTCGTCTCACATTGGAGGTTACACTGTATATTTGGAGCAAGCAATTATACTGCCACTGTAAATTCCGGGAGAATAGATAGATGCGATTTTAATGCTTAACAACCATTCCAAATTGTGTTCTACTTTTGTAACTTAGGATGTGTTCAGTGCTGAATTGGTTGGTTATTTTGATCAATACCAGGCCCAAGCCATCACTGCTGAACAGCGATCAATGTTGTCAAGTAGGGTGCTGGACTCGCTCAATGCTGCGGAGTATGGTGGTGATGCTACAATTCTGTCACAGGTGTTCAACAAAGAGACACCATCTAATGGTAGGATATAGGCTTATATCTAATTTTATATTGAGTAAATGATTGATAAAGTGCTCATCAGTTTTATTGCCAGATATGTTAAGGTGCACAACAGGCATTGTGTGTGTGTGTGGGGGGGGGGGGTGTGGAGTGGTGCTTAAGTTCCCTGCTAGACAAGCCAAGCTCGAACTCCCCCCACCCCAGAAATTTGTTGTGCTTAATATATTATTATTGCTAATGACTTTATGCACTGAGAAAAAAAAATGCAATACCCCTGTAGTTATGTGAGAAACTTTCTACAAATTTGAGGATTGTAATGTTAAATTAAATACTTTATCTTTTTTTTTTTTTACAGAATCCAGTGAAAACAAGCTAAGTGAGTTCCTAGTAGCTGCTTGGACAATGATGTTTATACATATCATTGAAGTTTTTTGAATTAATGCAGTTAGTTCATCTGTAACGTTTCTGCCCTTTTTAATTGGTTTGATCTGGGGTGTTTGATGAACTGATAATTTCAATGTCCTTGATACAAGTTGTATAAGAATCTCTGCTTAACTCTTATGTCTTGTCCTTCAATGTAATTTATGATGTGATAGCTTAATACTGTGCAATATTGAGCCCAGAGTGCCAGGTAAATATAGTACAAGATGCCACCTAAGAGCATGGATAGTATGATATAAGAGCATAGCATGCTACTATGTATGTGGCAATGCAGAATGCCAGGACGTCTACAGATGCAGCGCAAAGCCAAACATAACTTTCATCATTATTATGTTTACTATTTCCAACATATTACCGAAGTTTTTATTCCTGTTGGTTTTGAGCAGAATAAATTTTTAAAAAAGAATTACAAATAATATTTCAGAATTTTATATGAAGGCATATTTTGTAAAATGTTAACTGTTAAAATACATTTTGTTGTTGAAGAAAGCAGCGTTTCCTGATTTTACAATCTGTTTGAAAATATCTTTAAAAGATACATTTAAATTTGTAATTCCTGTTTGTATATAAATTTCAATGTTTATTCATAAAAATATTCACTTCTAATACTCATGAGAGTTAATAAATGTAAATGAAATGAAAGTGTTTATATTTATTGTTTCGATATCTGTGTTTTTCTGAGGAGGAATACCTTTGTGATATTATGCAGGGGTTGCCCTTAAAAATACGAGACAGCTACTTCTAGGAAAGCCATTTGTTATTTAAATTTCAATAACAAAGTTTTTTGTTCGCAATTCTGAAGTATAGTCATCAGTAGTTTGGCATGTAGTTATGCTAATTCTAGCATCCTTATTAAATTACATTGATCTGGTTCTGGTGGGTAAAGCCGACCTCTTAAGTACTCCAAAAGTGTAGGAGTATAACAGGAGGGGTAGAAATAGTGTTGAATGATAGGAAATGTCCACTACTGAAGTTTAAAAGGGAACTATCAAAATGATTTTTTTGTTCTAGAGAGGATTTTTGATATGCCCTTAATAGAATCAACCTTAAAATCGTTTTTTTTTGGCTTTTTTTTTATGAAGTTATAGGCGATTATATACGATTTTACCCTGACGTCACTGGCGAAAAAGTAACAAATGATCGTGTAAATAGCGCCGCATAGGGTATCCGCCGCGTACGATCTTTGCGTGTATGTATAGCCATGGCTGTAAATTGTGATTGTTACAGCATGGAGAAAATAAAATAGATATAAATAAATATTTTATTTTCTCCATGGTTACAGCATGCACGTAAAGATCGTACGCGGTGGATACCCTACGCGGTGGATACCCTACGTGTTCATTTTTTTTATCTAGTGATGCTAAATCAATAGAGAAACGTTGGTCCCTGAAAAGGTCACGGGGGCCCTGATTTTCACTACAAAATAAGAAAGAAAGGGGGAAAGAAAAGATAAAAGGAAAAGAAATGAAAATCGTAAGACAGAAAAGGAAAAAAATAAGAAAAAAGACATAAGAAAGAAGGAATGGAAATGAAGCATAAGAAGGAAAAGGAGAGACTAAAACAGAAAATGAAACATATATAGAAACAAAAGGAAACATAAGAAAGGAAAAAAAGAAGAAAAGAAAACATAAGAAAGAATAGGAAAAAGATAAGGAAACATGGCAAAAGAGGAAAGTGTAAGGAAGAGAAAGAAAAGGAAAGGAAATATCGAAAGACATTGGTATAACTGTGGTTAAAAAATGAGAAGGTAAAGTAATAAAATGATGAGTCTTGTTACATTTTCTTCTTGTGATATGTATCTTGTTTTTTTCTCTACTGCTTGTTTGACACTGCCCAGCACCTATTTAGGTAGAGATGTTTGCGCTTTACAAATCTTTATTATTATTATTATTATTATTATTATTATTATTATTATTATTATTATTATTATTATAAGGCCTATTATTATTATTATTATTAACAACACGATATTCAAACTTAAAACAATGATTAATTTAGTCTTTTTGCAAGTACATGACTTTTAAAATCAATCAAGATATTTTTGCTTTTCTCCCCTTTTTAACTTTCACTTTTGTATTAGTAATATTGCGACTACACTATCATGATGAGTGGAAATAATATCAGTCTATTGTCAAATAAAGTGAAATCACTTCGACCTGACAAAATAACATAAAATTATCAGCCATACATGTTGGCAAATCAAAAAAACCTCAAAAAAATACGAAATGGTTCTTGCAACATTGTCGTTCAAGAGCGAGAATAGCCTAGCAAAAGTGTTTCACGCTGACATTAGCTGTTTTAGGTCATTTTTTGTCTTTCCACAGTCGTATCTGGCAAATACTTGTCGAATTTTTGTATTCCGTTCTGCATTTGGAAGGCAATTCTTTTCTGATTGCTTTAGTATCTGTTTTAATTGTATTGCTTGAAAAATGTCACCGTCATTTTTCACTTTCTATTGGTGCTATGCTGACCGTCCACCGCGCGTAGAGGCCGCATTTTGACCTCTTTTTAGTGACTTCGTTTAAATTGCCATTTCGGTTGTTCACCAATCAAATATCTTGTTGTTTATTCCCCCAGTAAACGGAAAGCTGAATATTCATAGATTCTTCTCATATAAAATATATAAATTGCAATTGGATGAAAAAAATCACCATCAAAACACTAATTTCAATATGAATGAACAATCCTCGAAGCTTCGGTATAGCCTTCCGCCACCATTGTCAGAGGTCTGAAAGCCCTGGCCTTAAAAAAAAAAAAAAAATACCTCTAGCGACTTTGTTGGCTTTAAATTGCCATTTCGGCTTTTCACCAATCAAATATCTTGTTGTTCATTCCCCAGTAAACGGAAAGCTGAATATTCATAGAATCTTATATAAAATATATTTATTGATAAACAATATTTTGTGAGGGTGGTCCATCCAGCCAGAGCTGATCAATTGGGACCCTCAGTACATAAGTATAAAAATTAAACTTGATCTTTAACATAAACAAATTAATTTAATTGAACCAGAATATGAATTCCCATTGGATGAAAAAAAAAATCACCATCAAAACACTAATTTCAATATGAATGAACAATCCTGTCTAGACATTATGCCCGCAAAAACACACAACCTCCAGGTTTGCTATTCATTATCCACCATCAACTAAACTGCCTTAAAAAAAAAATGGTTCGTGTGGGAATCGAACACACAACCACCAGGTTATTCATTATCCACCATCAAATAAACTGCCTTAAAAAGAAAAAAAAAATTGGTTCGTGTGGGAATCGAACACACAACCACCAGGTTTGCTATTCATTATCCACCATCAACTAAACTGCCTTAAAAAAATGGTTGTGTGGGAATCGAAGACACAACCACCAGGTTTTGCTATTCATTATTCACCGTCAACTAACTGCCTTAAAAAAAAAAAAATGATTAGCGTGAGAATTGAACACACAACCGCCAGGTTTCCCGTAACATGATTAGTCTATTTTTTTTTTCTAATTTGCATAATGAATTTTTCAAAATTTTTTGTCTGTTTAAAAAAAAGTGCGTAAGTTATGGAGATGGTAACAATCAAAAATCGATTATAAATTTAATTCTACATTTTTAGACAAAAAAATAAACCCTCTTGGCCCACGGCCCATTTTTGACACCATGACCATGCGTAATATTAACCTGTAGTGTGTAGTAGTGTGTATATACGGAGAATTTTTTCTAGTAAGATTAGAGTTGACTAACTGGTACTTGGTGTGGTACTAGATTTATCGCATTTAGGGCTTAGGGCCCGCGGTTTACCTCCCTCCGTTTAGTCATGCTGGATCATGGGTAGTAAACTCGGCGATCGTGGGTTCGATTCCCACACGGGGCAAGTTTTTTTTTTGTTTTTTTTTTTTTATTATGGTGGATAATGAAGAGCAAACATGGAGGTTGTGTGTTCGATTCCCACACGAACCAATTTTTTTTTCTTTAAGGCAGTTTAGTTGATAGTGGATAATGAATGTATTGTACTCGTTGATGACGTCGCAAAATAACGCGGTTGTGTGTTCGATTCCCACACGAACCAAAATTTTTTCTTCTTCTTAATGAGCCTAGGCCGTCATGGAAGCTCACTGGCTCCTGTGTAATTCATGTTGAGCCAACTGCAGACGAAAAGGTTACAATCTTTTCAGAGATAAGCTGGAAGAAAGTTTTAGACAGTGCCCATCAATGGAAGGATTTTAATACTGAGGAATGGAAGTTAGCGAAGTCCTTGACTTGCTTAACCGTTTTTCTTAGATCGTCGCTTTCAACCGTCTAGGCGCGTCTAGCCTAAAGAGGGCCTACATAGCAGGTCGAGATCCATGAAAAGTCGTATATAAAGATGTGGGTTTCCAAAAATCTTAAACCTTAACTAGCACCTCATATCGACTTTTGAATGGTGAAAATCGGCTCAGTATAACCCATTTTACCAAGTACAAATTTTAAGTTAATAGAACATACTGCTGTTACATCTTCTAGTTTTCCCCCACCGTTGTATTTAGGTACACCTACAGTACACACAATGAGCCTACAACTTTGCATAGCAGAGTTCCGCACGAGTGATTCAGCCCACATATTTATATGTCTGAGTTAACGCATGAATGGTTTCATGGACCTTCTCAGGATTTTTTCCAACCCCACATCTTTATATCTAATTTTGCTGAGAGTTCCGCTTGAACAATTTCGTGGACATTTTGGTATCTGCGCATGACATGCTTCCATTGCAGGATTTATAATGTGTTGAGAAGCATAATCTAGAAAGATAGCTGCTGGCACCTAGCTATTGTAGTCTTGCTTAATTTTTTATTGCCTTTTTTAAAATCTTAAAACAAATGGAATGATTGTTAGATAATTTATATGAAAGAATTGTGGTGGTGTGCTGTTCTTTATATTTGAAAACGGAGACCTGCATACGAAAATTGAAAATTAAAAACAGAACCATTTATATTTTACGCAAAGTCGAAAAAATGCCAAGCAATGCTCTAATCAAAGTTTTATAGCCTATTTTTGTCTATCTCTTGGAATGAATGATATCCTTGAGGATTTATGTCCGTCGACCTAACCTATCTAGGCCAGCGCTTTTCACACCTAACTTTTAATTCTTAATTTTTTTACCTCAGTGTTCTTCTCACAGTCACAACATATAATTAACAAACTAACAAACATGTTCACATGTGTCTCTTATACACATCTAGATGTGTATAAGATGTATGCTGTAACCATGGCTGTAAATTGTGATTGTTACAGCATGCACGCAAAGATCGTACGCGGCGGATACCCTACGCGGCGCTATTTACACGATCTTTTGTTACTTTTTCGCCAGTGACGTCATGGTAAAAGTATTACTTTTTTCCTAAATTTAATTGTTTGTTAACTGTTAACAAACAATTAAATTTAGGAAAAAAGTACGTCTACAGTCTATGTACTCCGGATCAGCATAAGTAATTTTCTAAACCATCGACGCGTGTTTGAAAGGGTCCTGGCGCTTGCTATATTTAACTTAGATTCTTTAAAGCACTGCAACATAAATGCCTCTCAGTTACCCAATTGTTTAGGGTTTCAGTGAAATGGCTTCACTGCGAAAAATTTCCAATAAGCATACTAGGTGATGTAGTGAGGGCAATGTTATATTATACATGTGCATATATACACATCACGTACGCCCAGACCAACACGCACCGATAAATACCGTAAAACCTCGAATTGAAGCCCTGGGCTTCTTCTTTACTTTGCGAACTTTGGATGGGCTTCTTTTCGAGATGGGCTTCTTTTCAAGATGGGCTTCTTTTCGGGACTACTTTTGCAAAGTAAAGAGTCGGGGGGGGGGGGGTGCTTCTTTTCAAACTGAATGCTGTAAATTTGTACTATAAAACAATAAAAGACCACTGTAACATTAATTTGTTTGTATCATGGAGTGTATTTAAGGCATTAAATAACCTAAACTACTGTATAAACCAAGCTTGTATTTAATTTATTTTGTTTTCTGAAATTGGTGTAGAGTGTATGTGACTGTAATATCTCGAAAAGAAGCCCATGGGCTTCTTTGGGCTTCTTTTTGAGATGGGCTTCTTTTCGAGGGTAATTTTACAAAATAAAAAGGGGAGCTTCAATTCGAAATGGGCTTTATCTCGAGATTAAGCCCACTGGGCTTCAATTCGAGGTTTTACGGTATTTGATTAGGCCTAACTGAAAGAATATACGATTTCCCGATTTCCAGCACTACCGGTATGAAAAGGCAGGAGTGGGAAATAGTTACTGTACAATTGGAGTTGGAAATATAGTTGCATGTCGGCTCGTAATACTGATAACATCATTAGTCAGACACATCTAACCTGCAATGCAGGGCCCTAAATTACGAATCAATTGCAAACTATGTTTTATGCGATTGATATAGTATTGATAGAACGTGAGTTATACTGCCGACACAACCAATGGATAAATAAGTTGAGTGATGCATAACGGCCCCATCCATGTGTGTATGCAATTGGCGGTCGGGAAGGTCGTACGACCCCCCGCCCCCCACATTTTTTCTAAATGACATAAATGAAAAACCATTGATCAGGTACCAGCAGTGAGTCCAAAGACCTTGCCAATTGCGTGACGTAGCCTAATCTATCTCAATTCCAGCAATTCTAAAACTGAGTCTGCCATCCGCTTCAAGCAAATTTTATTGACATTTTAATCACATCTTGCTGTTATTTCATTGTGAAAAGGTCCAAAAACATATGATCACGACCCACTCAGAAAACAATTCTGGATACACCCCTGCCATATACATCCTTGGAGGCAGCGGGCTTCCCGCGTGACCAAATCCAGCGAAAATGAATTTTACTGAGGCTGGGCCCATTTTTAGCATTTTAGAAAAGAAAAATTCTGAAAATATAGGCCTACCATCTGGTCTAGTCTTTGTTTCCTTGGTCAGCGTCTAACATATGTTCCAATACTGGTTAGGGCGATTTTTACAAAATGGATTCGCGGTCGACGATATGCTTTTTATTTAGCAATTGCAATATGTGTATATGATAAGCTACCGTCATAGGCCTGTAAAGGCAGTCATTCTTTTTACTGTAGATTTAAATGAATCACTGTAATTACAGAAAATAATTAATTGAAGCAAATTGTATCATTGTTTTTAGCTTTACTATGTTATCCAGATATATATGAATCTTCATTTGTTCGAGTTAAAACGTTGATAAACCAAAACGACAATAACCAAACCACAATTATCTCTGTATTGTAATTTAAAATAGTTTTATTTCACTAGTCACCACTAGTGATTAGTTTTTTAAAAGTTATAAAAGTTTTTAGCCGTCAGAGGGCGTGTGTTCCCAGCCATTCGAAAGTGTAGTCATGCGTATCATCTATCGCCTGGTATCACGAAGCCTATCACGAGTGCTGTACTTTGTTGTTTATCGGCTCTTTAGAAGTGTGGTTTGATAATACTGATCTTAAAATGTCCAAGTTTATTTGGTTTTGCTCATTTTTATATGCATTCATATGCATAATACATATTGACGATATATATGCAAAAGACTGTTCAATTGCATCTGCGAATCTCCGATTTGATTGCTACCCTGAAGCCGATGGTGCTTCGCAGGAAAAGTGCGAGGAACGAGGTAAGTAATCTGCCTGTCAGTGTCTCATAAGGCCTCGGGACTAGCCTAGCCTAGGCCTGGGTGAGTAGAATTGTCTCCGGACTGAACTAGGCTAAAGGCCCAGGCTAGCGTAAATACCATATTATCAGCATTACCTGTCATCAACCTAGATAGGCTAGGCAGGCCTATCTAGGCATATATAGCTAGGCTAAGGCTAGGCCTACCTGCCAGCAACCCCCCCCCCCCCAACCAGGCTGGCTGGGGGTTGCACTTGTCTTTGGAAATGGTTTGGAAAGTTAAATTTGATAATCAGCCTGTCATACATTTTCCAACCTATTGAAATGAATGATATCCTTGAGGATTTATGTCCGTCGACCTAACCTATCTAGGCCAGCGCTTTTCACACCTAACTTTTAATTCTTAATTTTTTTACCTCAGTGTTCTTCTCACAGTCACAACATATAATTAACAAACTAACAAACATGTTCACATGATTTAACCACTCACAAAGTAACTTTTTCAGCAAATCATCCCACAAATAAGTACAGCAAATCTGTGCTCGCTAGCACGAAGAGCAGCTGCCATTTTGCAATCAGTAAGAAATTGCCAGAATGTCTGAGTTTGCAGCGCGAAGTTTTTTTATAAAATGTGTATGAAAACTATTTGCGTTTGCATATCATTTCAGTTATGCGTTATATTGTATTGTGTTGTTGTTTGACTATACAGTATGTGTGTTCACATGACATTCACATGTACAATACTAACTTCAAAAATTGGTAATGATGCAAATGTGTACACAGATATACAAACAGGGCCTAGGCCTAATCCAGCAAAACAACTACCAAAGCCAATGATAAACGTCGGTTCGATTTAATACCTCGATTACGACAAGAAAGTTCAAAAAGATGGTACTGCATGATGCCACATTTTGTTGTCGGATGTTTCATGGGAAAATTTCGATTAAAATTATAACTAGACTGGCCTTTAATTGTTTCAAAATTTAAGAATTGACTTTGACATTCCGGCAATCTCTTAATTGATTGCAAAATAGTACAGCTCGTCGTGCTAGCAAGTGCGGAAACCCTGTATCAACGTGTATTTATCAAGGTATCTTTTTTGTTGAAAAAAAGTACTTTGTAAGTGGTTGAATCATGTAAAAATGTTTTATAATTATGTGTTGTGACTGTGAGAAGAACATTGAGGTAAAAAAATTAGGTGCAAAAGTGCATTAGCGCCACCGAGGCCTAGGCTAGGCCTGGTAGTACCTGACATGGTACTTCTATACATGCCAGCACTCACGTTTTGGCCGGGGGACTCCCATTTTGGTGGCCTAATTCCCGACCAATTTTTTTCTCACTTTTTTTTACATGCTCTCCTGGTTTACAAAGAAAATTTCATAGGAATATTCATATATTATTTTGTCTTTATTATCGAAATTGAAAAATCCTCAATATTTAGGTTATCTTTCACTACTTTGCTTGGCAACAGCATAGCCTCTCATTGAGTGGTGCGAGAGATGTGGATGACATGTGAGCACTGCAAATTCACGCCTTTCAAACACTGGATCATGATTACAAGGTGTCTGGTCAGTAAAGACTATAAGCGTAAGAATCCTGAGATTTAATCATGAAACATAAATAGCTAAAGCTTCCCAGGGGTTACACCCCCTGGACCCACCATCTATTAGGAGATCCCCTACCCCACAGGCTAATCCCCTCAGCAGTGCTTCACGCCAAATTCTGCCGTTTTTTTAATATCAAAATGTTGGCATGTATGTATGTATTTCTGCCCAGGTACCACTTAAATAGTGCATACCACTGCAAACTGCTGCAAAGCACTGCTTACTACCATTGAAAATCTGTGATTTAGTTTCGTTTCCTTAAAAGTGTTTATTCTGCCGGCTAAACTCAAATTTGTGTATTCTTTTTTAAAATAAATGAACATAGGCCCAAGCCTATTTGTTCTTTCTGATATTCTAATTACCGTAGAACCACGTTTTTACGTACCTTAGTTATACGAACCCTCGGGTTTACACATGGACGATAACATTATAAGAACCCCCAAAAATACTCAAAAGATACAGCCCTTTTTAGGACCATCAAATGTCAAAAGAGATTGTTAGTTTCTGTCTATATTATTTCAGTGCTGTAACAATGAACAAACCATATGCAAATAATTTGCATTCAACAACCACATTGATTGGTGCCTAAATAAACCCGCTGTTATAACCTAAAACCACATAGACTGAGAGTGATGAAGAACTACCATTGGTGCACAAAATAGTTTTTCCTACTAATAGCTTTGTGTGAAAAACTTTTCACGCAAAGTTTACTAAGCTGGGTAGGCATGATTTTGCACACGAATGGTAATTGTTTGTCTCGACCTGTGCACATGGTTTTAGTTTGTCTCAGCATGCTCAGACAACACCGCAGCTCTGTTGTTTAGAATAGCCATGAAGGAGAATTCCCAAGTTATATCTTTGCCGTATAGGTAATCTTACAATATTTTCATGTTTTTTTAATAGTTAAATAAAAGATAAATTCAAAGTGATGAATTAATAAACTAAGTTATTTGAACACTTTATTATGACATTGTAAAGTGATGAATAAATTACACTAAACATAGTGGTTTTATTTGTAAGCCCAGGCATGTTTGTAACATGCGTTTATTGAGTCTTACATACATATATTAGGTCAAAGGTCACTAGAAATTTAACCAACCTTGATTTTATGAATTCCCTGATTTTCATATGCCTTCTGGTCCCCTAATACCGGTACCATATGTAAAATTGAGGTTCTACTGTATTGTGTTGAGGTTTCATTTTTGTCTGCAATAAATGACAAATGACAACAACAGCCACACTTATCTTTTTACATTGTCCATTTTTGTACCTTATTTAGCCATTACAGTATTGTCACATGTTTTGTCAAGTAAAATTTGATAGTCAGACAGGGATTTACAAGTTATGTATTTGACAGGATGTTGTTGGCAGCCAACTAAAAGCGGTATCAGCGATGGTGAACCCTATTGCTTCTACCCCACTGACTTTCCATCGTACAACATGTCAACTCCGCAAGAGACAGCCTTTGGTTATACAGCTATGTTGAAACGAACCAATAAATCTTATTATCCTAATGATATCCTGACACTGCAGTTAGATATATACCTGGAGACAGAGTCTAGAATTCACTTTAAGGTAATGTTTCAGTAGTAGTAAAACGACAGCCACCATTGCCATAGCAACGATAACAATAACAACATGTAAGAGACAACATATGAACAGTCTGTGATATTATGCAAAACATCTTTAGATTTTAAAATTTTGGTAAACTTATGATATATAAGTAATAATGATAATAATAAAGCCATATTTATATAGCTCCAAATGGATCACATATCCCTGTACTGTAGGTGCTTTGCTATGGTGGAAAACTATCCCCCGCCGGACACCAACCTGAAGATTTAATAGAAGTGATGTTTTTGCCCTACCTGACGTATTGTTGTACAGAGTACTTTCCAAAATACTTGCAAAAAATATTGGCGAGTGATTCGGGTGGGAATTGAACCCATAACCGCTAGATTACTATCCTGGCATCGTATGGCCTAAAAAATTAGTTCGTTTGTTTTCCCTTCTTTTTTTTAAATGTTAAAAGGGGGCAGGTGGAAAAAGTTTTTGTTTGTTTTTTTTTTCAAGATTACACGTCAGGAATAAAAATAGCCCAAACCTGATATTTTGCAATGAATATCTTGCATCAGAGAATTTTGTAGGGCATCTGGCAAGAATTGTTCTTTGACTTTTTAAAATTTTTTTTTTTGTTTTTAGGCCCCCCCCCCCCACTTATTTTCTTCAGTGCGGTAGGGGCGGTTGAGGAGAACAAACAAATAAATTTTTTTTTTGGCCTAACCACTAGACTACCAAGCTTGCGCTTAGTCGCTAGTGTAATCCGATCCCCAAGTAGCATCGGGTACTGCAAATGCAATAACGATGTGAATTTGCATCTGGAAAATATCATAGGAGTGAAGTTTTGCCCTACCTGACGTTTTGTCAACTGAATACTCCGTACGTTCCAAAATACTAGTGAAAAAAAACGATAAGATAACACGTCAGGTAGGGCAAGACAGCGCTCCTATGATATTTTCCTGACGCCAACTCCCATCATAAGAAGATTTAAGTGATGTATACTTTGCCATGAAACATGAACTTAAATGCATATATAGTAAATATATCATAAACCCTGTGGTGGACAACGAGGGTTGCTGGTACCAGGTTACCGGGTAGCACAGACACGAAGGGACCCTTAGGGGTGAAGAAAGTCATTGATCGAGTTCCTAGTCTACATATCAAGTGCCTTGAGCATCTTACATTAGATGGATATGTGCGCTATATAAAACTACACTATTATTATTATTATTATTGTTATTATTATTATTATTATTAAATTGTTGTTTAATGATCTTGTTTTGACAGATTTATGATCCAATGGAAGCTCGCTATGAAGTTCCAATACCAACTCCCAAGGTAACAAAGAAAGCAGCATCAACAAATTATGATGTTAAATTCAGATCGAATCCGTTTGCAATATCCATTATCAGGAAATCCAACGGAGAAGCTGTGTAAGTAGCATTTATGATAACTGCTTTTAAAGTCTGCTAATCATGAATTTTTGTTCTTATCAAATAGTTTTTGTAATCGGCATAGAACAACCCATGCCAATATTTTTATGAATGCTTTTCATTATTTCTCCCTCAATTAAACTTTCAGTGTTTTTAATTCATTTTATGACTGCATTGTATATCATCATGTAATACGTTTTTTAGTGTAGTTGAAAAGCTTAGTGGTTAAGGTGCTTCTCATCTAATACCAGGGCCCTGGGTTCAATTCCTGTATTAACAGCATAACTTTTTTGTCATGACTAAAAACAACTCCACTCTCTTAGCCTCATAAAGAGACTTCACTGATAAAAAGCATCACATTAATATTTCATTTATTTAACAGCGCCCCTGAATATCAGCTGATCTTTTAGGGTAGTCTAAAAGGGTCACCCTATACAAATATTTTTTTTTTAATTCTAATAATAGAAAAATTCAAGGGAGCACTCCACTTGGAATCAGAAAGTCTTGAGTTCAAATCCTGATGTGGAAAAATGTTATGATGATGTTTATTAGTATGTTTTTCTTGAAAATAATACTGATAATCTTTCTTTTGCATCATCAACTTCTGTCTTTGGGCTCTGCAACCAATAAAACCATTACTTTTCAGTATTTTGCTTATGGAAGATGGCAATCTAACAATTATGGAGCATGAACATGAAATTTATTATGCAATATAAAAGAATAACATCAGTATCATTATTACAATCATCTTTTATTATCAGGTTTAACACCAGCTTCAGCCCATTGATCTTTGCTGATCAGTTTATACAGCTTTCCTCTTCGTTGACCTCAAAGAACCTGTATGGGCTCGGTGAACATCAGGACAAGCTAGCTCACGACCTCAATTGGCAGCGATTTGTTTTCTGGGCACGGGACCAGCCACCAGATGTGAGACTTCCTATATTTGTATATAAACATAAAATTATATAAATATGTAGTCTTTATATACAGACTTGGCAATAGTTGTCATGCTTATCTCATATTTATTCCAATTTTTTCCAATTTTTTCAGGCTGGTAACAACCTGTATGGGTCACATCCATTCTATTTGAATATGGATTCGTCTGGCAATACTCATGGTGTCTTCCTTTTGAATAGTAATGCAATGGGTAAGTTCATTTAGATTTTATTGTGTTTATTCGGTGTAAACACCAAGAATAACCCAATTAAGTTGGGTCTTTCTGGTAGTGATTGGACAGTACACTGGGAGACAATCCCATACTCTTTTCCGAAGAGTTGTGTTCTTTTAATGTGCACAAGGGCCATATTGCACATACCTGTAGGACCAACATCTTAAACGTCTCATACAGTGTACGCACTATTGAAACTTGTATTTCAGCCTTGGGGCCAAAGACCAAAAGAATCTCTATGGTCCGACACCTACACAGTGGTTTCCACCAATTTTTCCGACTGAGCTAAGCTGTTCTCACAGTTACTATAGGTTACCATTTGTTATTAATATAGATATTAAATTATGATTAAATTGAATATTGTATCTTTGGTATCTTTATTAAGAACAACGTGCAAAGACAGTATAAAACTGAAATGCAGCACATTTTACAATTTAGACATCAAACCAGATAAACATTTTAAAGGAGAGGGAAAAACCAAACTATCATTTCAATACAGACATGACAAGTAAAATGTAATATTCTAAAAAAATTAAGATAAACGCAATAGAAAAAATTTACAAATTACAGAATACATATTTGAAACTACAAAATTATGTATTGGTTAATGATTATAGGATTGATTTTCAATTATTAAATATTATATTATTTGTTATATTAATTATGATATTGGAAATAGTAAATTGATACTGATTTTTTTTTGTTATTAATTTATATAGAGGTGGTCCTACAGCCTACTCCAGCGATAACATATCGGACAATTGGTGGAATTCTAGATTTCTACATCTTCCTTGGACCTAAACCAGAAGCTGTAGTCCAGCAATATACGGAGGTCATAGGTCGGTCATATATGCCACCATATTGGGGACTTGGATTCCATCTGTGCCGGTGGGGCTATGGGTCAGCAGAGAATACATTGAGTGTGGTGGAGAAAATGAGGGCTGCTGGAATTCCACAGGTATGCAAAATAAATAAAAAATTGTGAACAAAAAATATTCAGAAATGAAATGGAGAAGCTTTGATGGTCATAGATAAAATAGAAGCACTAAGGGGATATTTTCAGAATGATAAAAGTCTCTTTGAATAGATGAACCCCTATTTAGAGGACACTATAGAATATTGCTTGGACTGACCATTTTCGCAATCAAAAGTGTCCTTGTCCCCTTATTTATAATCCTTGAATAAACTCATATGTTTGAGTTTTCCATTTTGGTTTTGTTGTCATTAACTTGTTAACTTGCTTATTTATTTATAATGTCACCAATTACCTGAGGAACTTATTTTGCACTTAATTATTTTAAAAACCTTTTAATCTGCAGGTACATTGATTTGTTTTTTAATGTAATAGGAAAAGAAATTTTATTATTGGTATGTTATAGAAAATAATAATTTTTTATTGCTGATTGTTTATGTATTAAAAGGAAAATAGTGATTGCAGATATTTTCTGAGGGGATACATAGAAGAATATTTTTGTTCATTTTGGGATGTGATTTTGTTGTTGTTGTTATTGATTCCATGCATTTCTTTAGGATTCCCAATGGAATGATATTGACTATATGGACAGTTTTCACGATTGGACATATGATAAAACACATTACAGTACGCTACCATCAGTCCCAGACGACCTGCACAAACACAACCAGCATTATATAATGATTATCGTAGGTATTAAGGTCAGAGTGGAAGAACAGTACAGAGTATGCGCAGTACTCCATAAAACAAAATCAGCCAATATGAATGACTTACATTACAGTGAATGTGCATTCTATACATTTTACATTGTCTTTACATTTACATTGGTTCGTTCTGTGCATCTCTTGCTGTTTTTAACTCTAAGTAGGAATGTGTAAAAGCTATTGAAAGAAAATACAGAATGAAGGTTGACTCAATTAGTCCCATGTTTTAATTTTTGAAATTGTAATTCAAAATCATGCACACCTTAACATGTACCCATTTTTGATATGTGGGGTACAGGGGCTTTCAATTACAAGACCGATGCTGTCACACGTTATCTGCATTTGCCTCTCTTCACCCAGGAGTATAAATGGGCACCTAGTAGGAGTTGAATAATTCTGATTACATGCATAACTAGAAATACTCCCCCAAGGAGTGGAGGAGGTTGTACGTTGTGTGTGATTGATTCTGTATCCACAGTGACCAGGGAAAAAAGCACCTTGAGCAGTTTTCTGGATATTTTACCTATATAAATCCTATAAAATAATTAAATAATATTAATAATACTGTACATTTTTGGCAGAAAGAAGCAAACATTGATAAAGTTCCTTATCCCAGTGTTTAAAAAAAACTTATTTTTATTCAACTGAGTTAAATCCTCACTATACTGTTTCTTTCAGTAGCTTTTATCACACTCAAGTTTTTTCTTACATATTATTTTATTTGCTTTCATTTATTTTCCACTTCATTCCTGTAGGATACTCAATGGAATGATATAGAGTATGCCGATGGCAGGAAAGATTTTACTGTGAATGCAACCTGGGCCAAACCTTTGACCCAGCTACTCCTAAACCTTCATAATCATAACCAGCATTATGTACCTATCATTGTACGTCACAACCATCTTATCTATTGTCTTCCATTGAGTAATGTACTATAATTACGCTCATGGAATACTGTAGTCTAGAAAAATTTAAAAAAATAATTCCGGCATAATAATGTACTTATAACAAAATTTTACTACAGTAATTGCATTTATGCTTATGATGTTGTTCATTAACAACTTTTATTCTTACCAATTTCTTTTAAATAAAATGACTTATGTGGTTTTGTTTTTGTTATGCTAATTGCATTTATTGAAAATATTTATCAGGAATCAATAAAATTAATGAAACTGTTAGGTTTTTTATTGAAAGTTAAATTGCTTGCATTTTCGTTTATTAGGTTCATATTCAGAAATAAATGTATAAATTATTTTATAGTAATTTTTTTTTTGTTATATACATGTAGGACTGCTAGTGCGACCTGTGACCTACTTGATAATGATTTGGTTCACTTTTGGACAGGATTCCTCATCATAGTGATTTGGTTCACATTTAGGAATCCTGTCTCAGTCTGTTTCCCAGTTGTTGTTTTTATGTATTTTACTGAGACAAAAAAAAATTAAATGAAATGACAATGTATTTAATATAGAAAATAATAATAATAATAATAATAATAATAGTGTAGTTTTATATAGCGCACATATCCATATAATGTAAGATGCTCAGGGCGCTTGATATGTGGACTAGGAACACGATTAATAAATAATAAATTCCATTTTTGTTAAAGCCAGCCTTCAAAGAAAATGATGTACAACTTATTTTTTAAAGACACAAAAAGGGTGCTTGACGAAAAACTCTGAAACTGTTTAATGACATACAGATTTTTGAATATTTAAAAACTGGGGGAAAGGGGTGTACAACATATCAGCATGTTTTTTCCTCCAGAGTCTGACTTTAAATATAATGAATTGTTATTTTTGCACATTTTTTATTTTGTTTTTATTTGTTGTCTTAGTTGGCGCCCTAATGTTTGAATTATTTTTGCATTTATAGGACCCTGGTATTGCAAGCACTGCGACAGACTATGCCCCTTATGATGATGGTATCAAAGAAGGTGTGTTTGTTAAAGATTATCAAGGCAAACCAATTATTGGATCGGTGAGTTTTTTATATGTGCATTCAAACCTAAAATTGTGTCCACAATCTACAGCTTCATGTAGCATTAAAATCATGTGATTTGCATATATAGGTATGATATGATGACATCATGTGCCATATATGGGCAATCACAGATAGAGTGTTAGTCATACAACTTGATAATGTGGACATGCATTCAGACCTAAAGCGCTTTCCACACTATAAATCTTCATGTAGCAAAGACATGACGTGATTTGCATGTATAGGTATGATATGATGACATCATGCCTCATATGATGACATCATGCCTATTATGCCGTCAATCCAGGGGTGGTGCCAGGATTTTCTCGACAAGGAGTCAGATTTCCCAGGCGAAAGGAAAGTAGGCGTGGTTGGGCTTCGATTAAAAGGTTGCGAAAATGATATAGGGGGTGAATCCTCCAAAAATTTTGACAATTTAGGGGTTTCAAAGGCTTATTTAATCAATTTTAGAGTCTTCTAATATGTAGAAAATAAATATAATTTTTTTCTCCCCGACGAATTGTGCTTTTTTCCTTCCCTACGGGGGGACCCTGCCCTCGCTTCGCTGGCACCACCCCTGTGTCAATCACAGATACAGTATTTGTCATACAAGTGAACATGCATTAAAACCTAAGGCTCTGTCCACACTATCAGTTTTCATGTAGCTGTAATATATACATGGGATTCACATATGTAGATATGATGACATCATGCCCCATATATGGACAGTCAATGTAAATGTATAATGTTTAACAATGACAATAAAAAGACAACTGAATACTGTATTGTCAAGTACAGTATTTTCTTTCTGTAGTGAAGCTAGGAATAATTTTTTTTAATGATCTTTTGTTTCCCTGTTTTTCCAGAGTAAAGAGCATCGAAGCTTCTGTGACACTTTTCTATATATAAATTGCATAATATAGTATTACATTCTTTCTAATGTTATACATTTTATTAGGTTACACCTTACAAACTTAAATACAAAGAAATAAGTAACAGTTCATGTTTAATTGTGTAATATTAATTGTTATAGGTGTGGCCTGGAAATACTGCTTTTCCCGACTTTTTTAATCCTGCTGCTGTAAAATGGTGGGAAAAGTGGGCAAGGAACTTCCATGACCAAGTAGAATTTGATGGAATGTGGATAGTAAGTATTGCATTGGTTAAATTATTTTTCAATCATCAAATTTTGGCTAAATATTTTATTTAATCTTATTCTCCTAAAGAAAATATATGTTTAAAATCTCTTCTTTAAATTTTGATCTAATTTGTAAATATGTATTTGATTTTTAAATTCATGTCTATTTCGTGAATACTTACCTGGGTGAACCGATATACTGTATGCCAGATTCCTAATGGAACTTACCCGCGAAAAATAATGGAATCGTCTAACCCAGGTGTATATAACGCATCAGCGTTACATAACCAGCCTCAAATTTCCTTTCGCCATGAGCGAGTGAAGAGAGTCTTACCTTGTAGAGAGAACAATATGCCACCTTGCATAAAGGGGTTCCTTTTGCTGACATCCTGTAAACGGCATGGTGGAGGAACGAAACTACGTTCTCAACGTTTTATTTGTCGGACGTGCTGTCTACCCAGAAGCCAGTGGCTAGGGCATTGTTATCACACCATCAGGCTCTTTAGGTAAGTGTCGATTGGCGGTGGTATTCTGGCATATATCGGTTCATGCAGTTAAGTATTCACGAAATAGACCACACAAATCAGAAGTGATGTTATTGGTCTATGAGTGAGATGCTTACCTGGATAAATGCCCTCCTGTTTCCTCCTCTGCAGATCCTTTTTGGTCTCTAGGAAATTTTGAGGCTGGTTACGTAACGCTGATGCGTTATATATGCCTGGGTTAGTCAATTGCATTATTTTTCACTGGTAAGTTCCATTAGAAATCTGGCATGTATCGGATCATTCAAGTAAGTATCTCACTCATAGACCACAACATCACTTCTGATTTGTGTGAATAATGTTTTTTTTTTTTTGTACAAATTCGTAATTTTAAAAAATTATTTTTGTAAATGCAATAAATTTAGCCATTGGCTACATTTTGTATACTTTTATACCTGAAAAGTAAATAATCAGTGTCAGTGTGTAATCTGCTGTACAGCTCTCTGTCACGAAGATCAGAACATGCTTTTTTGCCTCAGGCACACTAACTTAATACAGCTGAATCAATTTGTCCAAAAGTTTCAGCTAAATCAAACAAAGTTATTAGAGAAACAATTTTAAACTACTTGCCTGTGGTTAGGCGATTGCTTATTCACTCCATTATAAGCATATATAATGGTTGGTGAATTATACTTCATAAATGATTATATTTTACTGTGATTTATATGTTGGTTTATGAGTAAAGATGGATTAATGAATTGAATGTTTATTAATAGTGTATAACAATTTCATGATAACACCTTTTATGTTAAAACAATTTCAAATCATCGATAAAATTGGTTGCATTAGACACTTTTTTAAAAATAGTAGAACCTACTATATTGTGTTAATATGTTGAATATTCGTTATTGAATATAAACTAATTTGATTTTATTAAGTTTGTCCCTAAAAGTAAAATTATAGTTGAATTAAATTTATCAATAATGCATCTAATTCCAAACACTTTAGTGTTTACACTTTTGTAACGAACTGTGTTCTTCGTTGATTGGATAACTGTGTACCGGTCTACGCATCATCATAGGTGACGTGGTTTAGTAAAACTGTTGAAAGGTGCATCCAACATTGAAAATTCACTTACACAATGTTTTATCATGAAAGGTCTTTGATATTGAATGGCCAGTTATCATTATGTATTTAAAGAAAAGGATTGTCCGCATACACGAACACAGATTGCATCAAGTTGCATTTGTTGCCGTTCTTAAAATGAAGGGCAAGTCAAATTTGACAGACACACGGTTATAATAAAATATAATTTGAACATACCAGGAGGCTGGTTCCTAGGTTAGAAGGAGCAGGTCAGAAAGTATCACTCTTCCTCATGTAATAGACGACCTCGATGAAAGAAGATGACAAACAAACATTGAATCAGATAGCCTGTATACCTGTCTCTTATACACATCTAGATGTGTATAAGAGACAGGTATTACATTCTTTCTAATGTTATACATTTTATTAGGTTACACCTTACAAACTTAAATACAAAGAAATAAGTAAC